GAATGTGAATATATTGTTAAATAATGTTTTCATTGTTACAATGTTATATATCATGGTTCTTTTTTTTTGATTAGTATTACGACTAATAATCCGAATACACATACATCTCGTAATCCTTACAATACCGATCATTATTGTGGAGGGTCAAGTGGAGGTAGTGCATGTGTTGTTGCCAGGTCATTAAAAATTATTCTTATCAAAATCTTTTAATATTTCAATTTTTGTTTATTAATATAATTATATTCCACTTTATAGTGGTTTGTGCCCAATTGCTATAGGTTGTGATGGTGGTGGTTCTATTAGGTAATTATTAAAATATTTGCTTAATCGAAATCAGTTAATTACTTATATTGTTATATTTTTATTTAGAATACCATCTTCTTTTTGTGGGAACTATGGAATAAAGCCGACATGTGGAAGGATTTCTTCAGTAGGAGAATGTAAGTACTTATATTAGAATTGCTCTATTAAATTGTTTTATGTTTATAAAGTTCAGAAAATTTTTAAATAGATACATATTGATTTATTTATATTCAAATTTATGCAATTAACATTTTAATAATTACACTTGTTTAATGTAGTTGCGCTTGGTAGTTCTGTAGGTGAGATTTATTATTAGCATATAATTAATTGTAAACAAAAAAAACTAGTCTGAACATATTTTTGTTTAGCTGTTGCGGGTCCTATGGCTGCTTGCGTTGATGATTTAGCGTTATCTTATTATGTTATAGCCGGCAAGGATCCTGAGGTTTGTTATAGTTTAAAATTTATAAAATAATTGATTACATTTGTATTTACCTTGATTCTTTTTACCTTAGGATCCAAAAACTTTACACCAACCACCACCCACACTCCATGGTCTTTATCTTACTGATAATTTGTCTGATCTAAAGATTGGTTTATTCTCTGCATGGAATAAACAAGTGAGCAACCCTGCTATTACTGCTGCTCTTAATGCATTTATTGATGAATTCAAAAATCGCGGCGTCGAATTTATTGAGATCGAAATTCCGGAGTTAGAAGATGCGCGAATAGCTCATTTGATTTCGATTGGATCCGAACACTGCTCTGTTGTTGATGGTTTCAAAAAACAGGCACACTTATTGAATCTACCTAATAGAGCGACTATTGCCACACTACGTAACGCAAATGCTATTGATTACATTAAAGCACAACAAGTTCGTACGCGTATGATGCGTAATATGTCTGGTGTATTCTCTGATGTTAATCTTATTTTAACACCTACTTGTGCCATAACTGCTCCTCCAATCTATCAACGAGCTTTAAAGTATGGTGAAATTAATACTTCTGTTACTGCCGATGGAATTAGATTTGTTCAAGTTGCCAATCTTACTGGTATTCCCGCCATTACTGTACCAGCTGGTTATGATGATAAGAACCTGCCCATCGGATTACAGTTTATGGCAAAATGGTATGATGAAGCAACATTACTAAGAGTTGCAAAAGTCTCGGAGGAAATACTTGGAAATAAAAGACAAAGACCTACTGAAAAATATTGGCTTGGAGATGTATTGTGAAGGATTCATGTAATGTGTATGATTTAATGACCTTGAATTCAGACTTTAAATTTACTAGACATCTTTCCCATATGTAATAAAGTAATTTTTTCTGTTAAATAAAACATCAATTTATTTGAATTTAGTTTAATTTTACATTACCCAAGCAATATTTGAAATTGTGCTATAGTACATCTAAAGTTAGGTTCTGAGATTATTTGTACACTAATTTAAGCTCTTTGAAGTAAATTATACCAGTAGTTTATTAAATTCGATTTCATGGTGCTTTGATATTTTATTTCAATGCATAAATTTTAACATCGAATGGTGATGTTTTCTTTTGTTGTTTTATAAATAAATATTTATAATTTCTTTTCGTGTACTGTGATAAAGTAAAAGAAGTGCAATTAGTGTTTAACAAAATTACTCGCTCAATTGCTATTTCTTGCACCGATATGTTTTTATAAAAAAAACAAAAAACAAGAAATATATCTATATTTTGTGCAGCTCTTTTTTAAAAACAGTCTTACCTGCACATTTGCATAAATTTTTATAAACATTAAAAAACTCTTGCACATGTGTATCTTGTGCATGCGATTTTAAACCCCGAGTGCAATTATATAGATTTAGTTAATATTTTAAATTTAGCTTATTAATTATGTTTATGCTGTAGATACATCTGCGTTTATTTCTTGAATTGTATTTATTATACTACAAATTTAAGAAATATACTTTATATACTTTAAATATGCTAATTATAATCCAAATAAATATAGTTAGGAATTTTACCCAATATAGAGGTCGTCTAAAGTAAAAATAAATCACATGTATATAGACAGTCAATTAACTGATGGTGTTTTTTTAACTAATCAAAAATTAAAATTTTAATATTATCAAAAAATTTTTAAAAATTTTTTAATTATTTATATTAAAGTTCTATTAAAAACATATAGATTAAAAAATACCTATAAAAATATTAAAAAATTTGTATAAATATTTATAATACAGTATATTATTAAAAAAAAGAAAATAACTACATTTAACCGGAAGGAAAATTCCTCCTCTTAACTATTTAGATATTAGAACACCAATTTTAGTTAATATAAGGTTTTTGGGGGTTTAAATATTTTACTTAGTATTTTGAGATGTGTTAGCTAGTACATTTTTGAGATATAGCACCCTGGTAACCTTCTCTGATGAAAATTAACAATACTTTTAACAGTCAACTGATTTGTCACAGTGTAAATTTTTATATATATAAAATTAAAGCAAAAACATATAGAATTACTTATAAACTTTGAAGCTATGATGTTTTTTCCCTTATATATTAACTTTAAATTAAATTTTATGAATAAATACATCAAGAAAAGGTGAATAAAATGCTTTATAATTCAAATTAAAATAGGGTGTGGTAATTTAGTGAAGTGATTAAATTGTTGCACCTCCAAGTGGTATGTTGGCAAGTTGGGGTTTGAAACCTACCAATAACAGAAATTTGAAAATTTTGCTTGTATGATGGTTACTATCTTTCAACGATCAGTTAAAACAGGATCTCTGTAACTTTGGTAGCATCAACAAGATTGGAAAATTATATCTCTTAAACCATCTAGCAGGCAAATTTGCCTGCTTATTTTATTTTTCAAAAGTTTTTTTAAGATTTCTTAAAAT